GCAGTGAGAGCTGTCAGGAGGAGCTCTTAGCACTGGGCATGAGGTATCTTGACAGAAGTCACCTGAACAGTTGAATTACTTCACATGGCCCCTCATTTTCTATTTGTAGAGGAATCTCCATTATAAATATAGCTTTGTTTCTAGCAAACAGCAGCCAAATAGGCTAAGCCTCCTTGTTTTGGTTTCAGCTGGAACACAATTGATCTCCCCACAGTGTCTGGTATGATGCTATGTTTTTGTTCTAGGAGAAAAACAACACTGATAACACGCTGACGTTTACAGTCACTGCTAAGCAGCGTTGTACAGAGTCAAAGCCCTTCTCAGTGAAGGGCCTGAGGAGCCGGGAGGGAACAGAGCAAGGACAACTAACTGAAACCAGCCACAGGGATATTCCATAGCCTGGAATATCATACAGATAGAGCTCTGAAGGGGGTGGGAATTTGTCTTGCTCTCTGCTGCTGTTCAGAAGGCTAGCTGGGCCTTGGTTGGCAGGTGGTGGACAATTGCTTGTGGATCACTTGTTATGTACACGTATATGCATGTATTTGTCATAACTATCACCCTTTTCTGCAGCTTAGCATGTAGTTTTATCTCAATCCATGAGTTCTACTTTCTTTTTTTCCTTTTTCATTCTCTCTGTCATTCACTGGGAAGCAGGGGGTGAGGAAACAACTGGTGCTCAGCCACCTGCTGGATTAAACCACAACACTCCATCAAATATTTCCAGGAAGAAAAAGAAACAATGAGTTGTATGCAATATGTAAGAATGAAGAAGAATCAAACCACAAGCAAAAAAGCAGGGAGGGTCCTGTTTACTTGCATTTAATCAATTCTTGGAAGCAGCAAGTGAAATTCAGAGAGTTCATACTGAGCCTTTGAAACTCTTCTGCATCATCAGCTGGCTACCATGTTTAAAGTCAGCTCTGGAGGCTGGGGAGCAGCAGGCCAGAACTGCTCCACTTATGTGGTCCCATCTTCCGAAGGCCTGCCCCAAACAGGACTGTGGTTACACAGCACTTACCCATCCAAGCCCTTACAACACAGGAAGTCGTGTCCCTTCAGGGGATTTTACCTTAAAACAGATATTCTGATGTTTCACATCTATTCAGTTGATCTAAAGATTCAAATTACAGCCTGCTAAAAACAGTAAGTTATACTTCAGTGGGAATCCTTGCTTAGTTTCAAAACACAGCGGCAGATCTGGAGAACAGTTTTTAAAACACATCAGTTTATTTTGGTGGGTCTGTATTTATTCCATATTTTTCTTTGAGCAGCTTAAGCTGTTCCTCTTTCTTCTTTGTGTCCATCTTTTGGAATGCCTGTAATTAAGGGAAATAATAATACGCATGAGAAGAAAAACTGCATCTTAAGGTATGTTATTTCCTATAAACTGCAACTAACTTCTCATTGTGAATGACATCAACATCACATGCAAACAGCACTGCTTAATTCTCAACCTCAGAGAACTCCACCAGACTCTGGGCCTCATCAGGCAGAACATCAAGGATTTACAGACTTTTTCCTGTTAAGCAAATCTCAAAGCCCTCTGTCACAGTTTGGCCCCTTCTACCTCTTCTCACCAGAAGCACAGCTTCCACATCTCTAGTCCAAAGGCTGTGGTGATTTATGCACATGAATCACACTGAAGATGAAATCCTAGCCGTTTATCCAATCCATTCTCTCTATCAATTTGGAATTATTTCTTAAAAGCATCCAACCATTTTCTCAAACTGATTTTTTTTTTTTAATGCTGAACATCTTCAAAGGTAACAATAAGAAAACCGAGAGCACTTACCCTGTTTGCATTGTAGTACAAAACGACAAGGTATCTGTTGCACACATTGAATCCTGACAGATGATCACAAGCATTTTTGGCATCAAAGATGTCTTCATAAACCACATAGGCTGTTCCTCTTGTTTCTGGAGTGTTTCCACTGCAGAGCAAATGTTAACAAGCATTAATATCAAACTCGATGCACAGGACTCAATTAATATTCAGCACTGAGACAGAATACTGTTCTTAGCACAACACAACTACACTGATGCATGCTTCAGCTGCACGACCATCACTCATCAGACCATCAATTCAATTTCCTTTGCCTGAGGAGCAGGAGACACATCTGGGCACATCACTCTAACCAGCTCTGAGCTTACACAGAGCTTATTACAGAGCTTACACAGCCACGAGATCTCAGCTAAAAGCCAACTTAGGAATCACAACAACCCTTTCTTAGGAGCTGACTTATAAATAAACTCCAATAAACAACATCACACACGTCCACGTCATGGTGCGTATGCAAACAAAAAGGATAAAATTGCACAGAGAAGGAGAAGAATTACAAAAGGAGTTTCACAAAGGGAGCCCAGACCAATGCTGGGGAAGAAAGGATTGAGTGCAGCCCTACTGAAAAAGACCTGGGGGTACAGGTGGATGGCAGCTGGCCATGAGCCAGCACTGTGCCCTCACGATCCAGAAAGCCAACTGCACCCTGGGCTGCACCAAAAGCAGCGTGGCCAGCATGGCGTGGGAGGTGATCCTGCCCCTCTGCTCTGTGCTGTGAGGCCTCACCTGGAGCACTGCATCCAAACGTGGCGTGTCTAACCTATTCTTTTTCATATAAATTCTCTTCTGTCAGCGTATGTCAATGAGTGAAAATCCCAGCTATTTAGCCAAGCAAAAGGATTATGTTCTCTCTCATTCTTTTAACCCTTGCCCAGTCCCTTTTGTTGTTCTTCTCTGTATTAATAAGACCCCACCAGCTGCACGTTCCAACACAGCATGCAGGAGCACACCCCACTACTCCCCTCTGTTCAGGTTTACTGGGAGTAACTCTACACAGAAAACTCACTTTGTTCTTTGCACTGAGCCATCGCTTTTTTTCACTACAGCACTGGCCAAAACAAGCACTTGGATTTGGGGTAGAGTTTGATCTTTTTAGCTGTTATCATATCTATGCCCCACAGAATTGAAGTGATGAACATTACGGGTTCATTACCCACCCCAATCTAAGAGCACGGGGAAACAGAGCAACAAAAACAGCAAGGACACATTCAGCTGTCAGCCAGTCAACAACCTGTGAATTCAGAGATGCCACAAGTTATTTTGCCAACATCTGGATAAGGGCAGTGTGAAGAAAACCATATCGTATCTACCCTACATTTAACTTCTTTTCAAGTATTAAAAGATGAGCACCAAATCTTATTGCTCCTCCCTTCCAAAATATTTCTCTCAGCTTGGGAAAAAAAAAAAAAAAGATCATCTTGTATGAACGCCAATACTCCAGCCAATCTTACTGCAGCTCTCAACAGCTAATCCTAAGTCCTCAGCCAACTCTTTCTGCCTGAAACTTAGAACACGGCATTAACCAGATGAAATTACAGTTAGATCCATGGCACGGTGCTCAAGACAGCAAGGAACATCAGAGCTCAGGTCATCAATATTTGAAGGAACTAAAGGGAAGAGGCTAGGATTTGGCACAGACAAGTACAGCCTCAGCGTATTTGGAACAAAATTCAGTCAGATCACATGGCTCAGAGCTGAGCTGCACAGCAAGGGGTGCAGTATTTTCTGCACCCATCAGTGGTACCATACCTGTTTCGTCATTAGTTCTTTATCTAATACTCATTGAGCAGAAGTGGTTGCCTTCAAACCTTGCTTTTCATATTTTTACCTTTACTTAAAATAAAAGTTAGTTCATTTAAGGTTTAAGTCCTTATTTTTCTCCACTTATCTACGTTCAGACCAGGCTTAAGCCACTCCAACATTCCTACCAGCACCGTTCTGCTTACCAACAAACTGACACGCAAGAGAAACACAACCACGTGCTCCTTTAGCACACAGGGATGCTGCTAAAGCACACTTAGCTTTTTCAGCTATTAAAACCAGTTGTTCCCACTGTAATAGGCATACTGACACATGACAGCTATCCCAAAGCCTTGGGATAAGTTAAGTCCTCCTCAAAGAAAACTGAAATTACTTACACCCTGATTTGCCGAATAGGTCCGTATTTCCCAAAAATATCATACATCTCCTCCGCGGTGATTTTATAAGGCAAGTTCCTGATGTATAGGATCCGATTGACCTCCGGTGGCAGCCGAATCTAAAGCAGAAACAACAGACGTTGTGTTACACACAGAACTCACTTCAAACCTTGAATGCTACAGCCTACCAACTACATCTCAGGCCTACTACCCATCAGCTATAGAATTTACGTGGTTTTACCAAGCTAGAACCCGGTAAGAGCACTCACGTTGGCTCGTTTGGCCGCTTGCATCGCCATGGCGCCGGGATAACGGAGGGGCCTCGGGCCTGGGAGAGAAACGGCAGCAGGCAGCGGTCCTCCAACAGCGGTCCTCCGACGCCGCCGCTCTCCTTACCGGAAGACCCGGATGCTATCCCAGGTTGCACCGCGCGCGCTCACCGGAAGTGCTGCCGCGCTACCTCGCGTAATTGCGTGCCTCTAGCCCCGCCCACCGCCCTGCCTCCCTTCCCGCCTCCCTTCCCACCTCCCTTTCCGCCTCCCGTGGGCTGAGGGTAGCGGTGCGGGCAGCCATTTTGTTCAGGTGGGGTTTGGCTCGGGCCTGCTGAGTTGTAGAAATTGTGCTGCTTGGAAAGCTGTGGGAAAACAGAAATGAGCCCAAAAGTTTGAGTGGAGATAGACGTGTGGTGGTTTTCACAGAATCACAGAATGGCCAGGGTTGGTAGGAGGGACCTCAAGGATCATGAATCTCCAACCCCCCATCACAGTCAGGGCCACCAACCTCCCCATTTCATAGCAGCCCAGGCTGCCCAGGGCCCCATCCAACCTGGCCTTGAACACCTCCAGGGATGGACGGGGCATCCACAGCCTCTCTGGACAGCTGTTCCAGCACCTCACCGCTCTCATAGGAAAGAACTTCCCCTGACATCCAGCCTAAATCTTCCCTCCTTCAACTTCCAACCATTTCCCTTTGTCCTACTGTTATCTGTTTTCCTGTGTAAAGATGTCATACGCTGTATCTGCAGTGTGAATTGCTTTTTTTATTCACATATCCTGTAAGGCTTTGCTTTGGCCCTCATTTTTTGACATCTTCCACAGTAAATCATTTCCAATTTGGAAGCAGAAATAGCAGAAACTCAGCTTTTAAGGCATCCATAGTGCTTCTACCCATAAAGCAACTACAGCAAAGGGCCTTTCTTTAGGGTGATTTCAGTGGCATTTCAATAACAATTTTGCCAATGTTCTTGTTTTCTTCCATTTTCCTGTGTGCCTCCACAATCTCATGCAGAGGGTAAACGCTGTCAACAAGTGGCTGGAGATGCGGAGAGGCTCCTTCAGAGAAATAGGGCAGCACACTTTCTATGAAGGCTTTCACCAGCTGCTCCTTATACTGCAGAAAAAATAAAGCATTTTTGAGATCATTTTCTAGTCATTCACATTCACTGAACAGTCTCTGAAGACAGCATAGAAAATGTATACAATTCTCAGACATTTCTCAGGTTGACTCATGGGCAGCATCTATCCTGAAGTGCCTTTTATAGTCATAACTGAATTTCCCACATAAAGTGATTTTCTTTTGGTAATTTCTGGACTTGAAATTAACTTGGTCTCTGCTTTGAGGAGAGTGTGGCTGCAGATGACCTGATGGAGGTTCTTCTCTTTCTCTCCCCCAGACTTGATCAAGTCATCTGATTACCTGAGTTTTATTTCTTAGAACAAATCTTTTAGAATTATGGTAGTCATTAAGAATGTTAAAAAGTCCTGAGTATTCCCAATGCATTCCTCTGGTGTACTGGTTACTGGAAGGATGCACTTCATAGAGGTAGAAAAAGGAAACTAATGTAATTTTGCAATGTTTTCTAAAGTTTGTAATAACAATTCAACCTGGTACTCTTTTTATTTCTGCTTTAGAGCTGATATCAAAAGAAAACTTTCAAAACTGTCACAAATTTAAGATTAAACTATATACAGCGTTGACATTGACATGACGTAGTCATTACTTGCCTCCTTGTCTCGTGATCTTAATAGACTTGTGTGGATGCTCCCTCTTTTGGAAAGCAGCCTTGAAAGCAAATCTCCATGAACTTCACCTCCACTCAGTAGTCCATAAATAACCCACCGGCCATCAGTTCTCAAGCAGCTGAGATTCTTCTCCCAGTAAGTGCCACCAACACAATCTAAAATAATATCTACTCCAGAACCTCAAGTAGAAACAGAAAGAAAAGAAAAAAAGAAACAGCAATACCATTGAGCTGTATTAAAGGCAGAATAATCTCAAGCAAGCAAAAGTAAAACATTATTCTCTTTAAGTACAGAATGATTCTTGCAGGTATTACTTAAATCCTGGGAAATGAACTGGCACAAAGATTTGTAAAGAATCCTAGCACAAAACCAAATCATTACAGATACACACATGTGTCAGAAAGTGTCTCAAATGCTTTTAAAAACCCTAATTTTTCCTAACTGTAAGAGAACAAAGTTTTGTGCACATATTCAAACAAGTGCAAGGATTTGCTCCTACATTTCACTGTAGGAGTGACAATAATATTGGCATCATTTTTGCCTACCTGTACGACCTGCTGTAGGGAACCTGCTTTGGCAGGGGGGTTGGACTCGATGATCTCTGGAGGTCCCTTCCAACCCCTACAATTCTGTGATTCTGTGATTTTTATACTGCCAGTGAACATAAAGCCAAAGGGACCCATGTGCAAAACAGGGCCCAGATAAACTAAGGAAAGATACATTCTTGGCCAGAACAGGATGTTATGTTACCTGTAGTAACTCACGAGTAGTAAAGCAGATTTGATGCCACTGGATTCCCAACCTCTTTAGCACCAAAGGGAGCATGGAAGATTTGCATGCTTCTTTTTGAAAAGGTGGTGGAAACTCGCAGTTGAAATTGAGTGTGTGTGCATATGCTTTAGAAGATACACACTTTTTCTTAACTGTGTCTTTCACTCAGAGGTTCTTACCTTGGGTGAAGGCCAAGACCTTTTCGCTAAAGTCTTCATTCTTGTAGTTGAACCCTGCAGCTGCTCCAGCGTTTGTTGTTGCTTCCAGTTTCTCCTGAGTTCCTGCTGTCACGATGGGAATAGCATTTGCCAGTCTGACCAGCTGAATGGCTGCCATACCGACCCCGCTAGCTCCAGCGTGGATCAACACTGTTTCCCCTTTCTGTATTTTACCTGAAGGAGGATGTAAAGGAAACGATTACCCTTTGGGGATTATCTGGGAAGTAAAACATGATCAAAGTGGCAAAAACTGAACAGATAAAAATAGTGAAATCTTAAAGAGATGCCCTTATTCACTGAGTCCTATTTACAACTTCATGTCCCTTATTAAAGCAACAAATCCAGAATGAACACAACTCCTGGTGTACTAACAGGACTCCATTCTACTGACTTCAGTGAACTGCTGCCAACAGAAAACTCACTGAATGTGAATATTGAGAAGTCGGGCACTGAGCAGTGGAGAAATTCCTCAAGTTTTGGGTAACATTAAGGATTGGTTCTCCTGAAGTCAGCAGAGTATGTTGTGACTGGACAGATGTGGTCAGGATTTCAGAATGTGAGTTCATACCTTATTCTGACCAGATAGGTAAGATGTGAATGGTGTGACAGAGAGAACAGTTTGAAGGCAGACAGCATTCAGATGGAGGCAACAATCAGAGGATTTAACAGCAGAAATGAAGGTGAACTGTTTTGACAGGATAGAGTCACAAGTACACCTCACCTACAAAATGCAGCAGCTGAAAAGCTGTTAACCAAGCCTCAGGAATGGCTGCAGCCTGAACAAATGTAATGTCTTTGGGAACTGGCATCAGCTGGCCTTCAGGTACTGTAACATATTCAGCCTGGCCGCCTCCAGAGAGCAGAGCCATCACTGCATCGCCAATCTTCCATCGCCCAGTGCAGCCAGGTCCAAGCCCAGCCACACTCCCAGCTGCTTCTAAGCCTAAAATATCACTTGCTCCCTTGGGGGGAGGGTACTTCCCTCTCCTCTAAAACAAAACAAAAGAGAGGGTAGGGAAGGAAAAGCCATACATCAGTGAGTGTAACAACCTGTGGTATTTTATTTGCATGCCTCCTATCTGCACGCCTTTTTATTTTATCCTGATTTTGGACTGTGCAAAGGTTTCAGTAATTTAAGGACCTTCCATCCTTTGGCAACACTCCCTTTTCCCTAGTAAGTATATTTGATTCTTAAAACTGTGCAAGTATCATTTGCTGCAAGCTCCCTACGTCCACACCAATCCATACTGGGAATGGCTTTCAGTTCCTGATCATCGTTTTCTGCTCAAATTAGGGAATGGTCTGAGCATCCAGAAAGACTGGAGCTCTCATTTTACATCTTTTTTTTGAAAGACAGCTGCTTTTCCATGTCTCCATGTATTGCAGGGACCAAAATAAAAGCATTCACCTACTCAATCAACACCTCTTCTTCAGCCCTATGAGCATTTCCTTAGAAGACTCCCATCCACATGCTCACCAAGGCCAATCTCTCTTAACTCTTCTGATTTGTCAGGACTACAAATGGAGACTTGAAAAGTTGGTGTTTTCAGGTGCATAAACCCACTTAACATACACATACCTGGAGTAAATCAGCCCTATTCAGAGCACTGGCAGAGACTTTCACAAGAACTTCTCCTTCTCTTGGATGTGGTTTCATCACTTCTTTCACATAGAGATTTTCTGGGCCTCCTGGGCAATCAAAGTGGGCTGCCAGCATCTTCCCTAAAAACCAATCATGTCAAAGTCAGCATGAATGCAGGCATACTGTATAGGTGGAACATCTCTGCGATCTCTGCGATTAGTACAGCTAAACTCCTACACCTCTGGAAGGCAGAGACATGGGCTGAAGTGCAGATGGACAACACAGACTGTGAAGCAGTTTGAAGGTGAAAGAGCTGCCTGAGAAACAGTGAGTTAGCATGACTGAAGGGTAAGAGATGCTTTGAAAACCTTCCTTGCCTCCCTTAGCAGGTGATTCCTGACTGCTGCGTGCTGGAGTCACTCCTGTAAAGGGTCCCACTATTGCAGAACCTTTCAGGTAACTCTTCAAAGCTTCTGGTTTTGCCACCAGCAGTGTTGAGATGGGCTGAGATGTCAAGCCTGTTTCCACCTGGAAAATCAAACTGGAGTAATCATCCTTCTGGGTACTGAGTGGAAGCACAAGAGGAAAGAATGGGAAAATCCCTGTTATTTCCTGTACTTTGCAGCATATAAATGCAATATAGATCTGCTGCACAAATGTGTGTGCAGGATGCACTGCAAGGTTGACCCTCTTCAGGTAAGCAGAGCTGCGTGATAGAGCTGCATGCCCTCTGCAAAGTCAATTGCTTTACATGATCTGCACAAAATGTTTAAGTGCGGACTTAAACATTTGTTGTAAGGCTGGAAATGTGGAATGAGAAACACCTTAAAGCCCAGGGATGTAATTCCCCACAGGGTGGTGCTCTGTGGCTGCTTTATGGTGAGTTGAAAACTGCTACCAATTATTGGCGTAAAGTGTAACTTTAAGGCTTCTTGTTCTGAGACTGGCTGGTTTTTTGGTTTTTTTACTCTCAGCTAAACCAGTCAATCCAGCCTGTCAACATTTGTCTGTCAGCACAGAAATGTAGTGGGAAGCCCACTGGATAGCACCCTATACACATTTCTCCCCTCTAACCCTGTTCCACTACAAACAATTAAAAATCAGATGGTAAAGAAGTTTTCAATCCCTCTTCTGACAGTCCACCAAACCCATTTTTATGAATGCTCTGTTGCTGGAAGCAACACCAAAATATGCATGTATATAGGTTTTAAAAAGTGTTAGCAACGATATGAATACCCATGTTGCTTTCAAACGCTTACAAGTGGAGAACCAAGTTTCCAAGCACAGTACCTTCAAACGATCAGATGTGCCAGCGGTGGCCTGAAGCAGCAGTTTGAGGGTGCGTGGTTCCTGGCCGTGTCTTGTGAGCCACCTTTTCCTCCAAGGAAGAGAAGTTGTGCAATGGGAACTGTCACTGGGAGCAGTCAGGTCTGGTTCCCTCCTCCCAGGCTCTGCCTTTGCAGTCAGCTGTTCCCCAGCAAGACAAGGGGTGCATTCAGAAGAGGTCGTGTTTTACTTGGAGGGAAAGACCTGAACTCAGTCAGAAATATTAGCACATCTCACTGCTATTTCTTCCCATAGATATGTTTTGTTCCACGGATGGAGGCAGAAATCTGCTTTTCCCTTTGACATCGACCTTGAGATTTCACGCACGCCCCCAGCGTGCAGGGAGGTTTGGTTTGGTGCCTTTACCCTGCTGCCTTTCATTGATTGGCTGGTTGTGTGCGTTCGGAGCTTCCTGAGCGAAGCATTTAAATGCGCTTTGGATTTCTGAACTCTGAATAGCACAGGCTGGATTTACTCACACTGTGTTAAGGGTGCATGAGCTGTGACCGCCCTTAATGCTAATTAGATCTGTCGCTGCTTCCTATGAGACTGCAGCACTCAGACCTCGCTGGCTCGTGTCCATCCACCCACTGCATTTCTCCCTGCTGGTTCAGCCACCTTATCTCACCTCTTTGCTGAGCTTTGCCATTTCCCACAGTGGGAGGTGCCTCAGGTTATGCCTTTATCCACATCCCACCTGCCAGCTCCTGATTACGTGGGAGTTGTCAGGAAATAAAACTGCCATTTCAGAGTGTTTAGATACGGTATCAATTTTCATACGTCTGTCTGTGTGTGGGGTTCTTTTGTGAGTTTCTTTTTGTACTGATTTTAATATTTTGGGATTTGGACACTTTGAAACTAAAAAAATTTAGAAACAAATATAGCAAAAAATTCTTTGAATCATAGAATCATAGAATGGCCTGGGTTGCAAAGGCCCACAATGCTCATCCACTTCCAACCCCCTGCTATGTGCAGGGTCACCAACCAGCAGACCAGGCTGCCCAGAGCCACATCCAGCCTGGCCTTGAATGCATCCAGAGGTGGGGGCATCCACAGCCTCCTTGGGCAACCTGTTCCAGTGCCTCACCACCCTCTGGGGGAAAAACTTCCTCCTAAGATCCAACCTAACCCCCCCCCCGTCTCAGTTTAAAACCATTCCCCCTTGTCCTATCACTACCTACATGTGTTTATTTTCACATGACTCCAAGAGCTATAGATTATTTGCTTCTGCAGATGAGAAGATCATGGGACCTGGTTTTCTTGAGCCTGTTCTTCACCTGGTGGTAAGGCAGAGCCTCAGTTGTCTTCTGTACAGTTCAGGAACTGTGGAGATGTGGCATTGAGAGACATGTGGGACAGGTTGCAGTTGGACTAGATGATCTTAATGTTCTTTCCCACCTGAACGATTCTTCAATTCAACGGTTCTAGCCTGGTAGCAATGTTGTCCCTCCTCCTGAGTCTTCACAGAACTTCACAATCCACTGCAGGTTAAAGTATTTCTATAGCAGTCAGTGACAGTGCAAACAGACATGTGAAAAATGCGTTTTAATATTCAAAGGTGTACAGAGCAATCTGAAAATCTGTTAATGCAGCAATTTCCTTAGCCTCCTACGTCTGTGGTGCCATAGAGAAACGCTATGAGTTATTTTGCACAGGAAAATTGATCACCTTGTTATCTGAGAACAAACTAAAAGACAACATATAAAAGCCTAAGGAAAGCATCTTAAACCAAATCCCATGGGCATCACTCTAAATTCTATTCAGAAACTTGGATGATACATGCAGAGGGTACTCCTCTTGGGAGCTGTGAACTGTCAGGAGTTCTTGAAAGAAAAACAGAAGGAAAGAGCCTTCACTCTGCACTGGAATGCAATAAAACAGCAGGTGCTTGCTGGAATTGGATAATATGTCAGAGTTCTGTATTGTTTTGCTGGTGAACAGCCCTTCTGAACTTGATGGAGTTCGAGTTTTCTGCTGATTCAGCTACCCTTCTCTCTTAAGTAATCCGCTATAAAAACACAAAGAAATAAATTTATTTAAAAAAAAAGTCAACAATGATGAAAATCACACACAAAACTGCTGTAATCGAGATGCTTTTTTCAAGTTCAAGTCCACCTCAGGCTTTAATTGAAAGGACAGCAGTCTTCCTAATTGCACAGCCAAAATCCTAATGCCTATATTCGTGTGGTATTATCTGTTCTACAAAATAAACACTGATCACTTTATACCTAAATCATTTGCAAAAATAAGATGCAAGTAAAAGCTAATGCCACTTTGTTTTCACAAAGAAATCATCCTGAAGGGAAAGAATAAACTCACATTGTCAAAACTGCAGGAAATCTGGCTCTGGAAACATGTAGTGGAAGTTTGAAGAATTTATTGCTGTCAGTCTTACAGCTCATTTCAGACTAAACAGCTTAGGCCCCAGAACACAGATTAATTGCACTTACATGTAGGCACCTAGACAAGGAACAACGCTGAGCACAATAGATCTGGAATTTCATTCCTGCACAGTAAAATGGGCATACTCAGAGGTATAGAAATATCTGTTTCCATGGTGAAAACCAGGGCTACTCTGGGATCTGCTCTTTGGCATTCAGTCCATCTGGATGATGTGATAAAATGATTTTATCCCCAGTAGTCAGCCGCACACTACAGCAATAGGATGTGTATCTGTTATTTGTCTCCCTGGCATAATCCTTGCCAGCACCTCCACACACTGAGAAAGCTACATCTGAGATGAGCACAGCTTGTCTGTGCAAAGGGCTATGTTTTGCTTTATTCTCAAACGGGGAACAAGTGTGAGATTTTAACCCTAAGTCTTTGAAACACCAAACCTCAGAGAGAAGAACTTAAGAGGAGTCCCACAAAGGGAACTTTGGCAGAAGAGGGAAGGAAATGGGCACTTCTGTTAGAGATGAGGTGCTTTGTAACTGTGAAACAAAACTTGAGAGGAAGCAGCTTAATGATGTTTTCAGATTCATATAGGCATAGAAGGAAAGTTTGAAACACCTGGGCAAGCTCATGGGTCTTTGAAGAAATGGAATGTGAATCAGAGTATCGAAGATGATGCTCATATGATGTGTGTTAAGACACGGGCTCAGCATTAGTTGTATGAGGTCAAGGAAACGTGACTGTTGGGTTCCACTGTGTTTAAGGGTAACAAACAAAAAACTTGTGCCACAAAGGCCAATGCAAGAGACAGTTCTGCAACCTGTTGATACCCATGGAAGCTTTGGATCACGGTGGGATGTCTGGAGAGCAGTAACTCATGGCTGTATTCAGGCTGCCAAGATTTTCAAATTTTGATAGTATGTCAGATAAATTTTTGAAGTTGTTTCAAGAGCAGAGCCAGTCAGTGAACCACTGACATGCAGGCACACAGGTACACGTGTTTGTCTTACCGAGTTTCTCCACAGCTTCCACACACACACTGGGATACATGCCCACTCTGTATGTAGCAATCAGGATGAAAGCTTTTGTCTTCACCATTATGAGGCCTCCATCTGCCTAGATAATACAAGTAGGACAAAGTTAGATGCATACACATACATATTGCCTTACAATTTAGGTTACTCACATTCCCTTTGCCAGTATACTTGAGGAAAAGACGAATACACTCAAATCCTAAGAAAGGATGTAGACAGAACAGTAGCTGTGCATGTTTTGAAGACTGCTGCTTATTAAAGCCACTCAGAATCCTTATTGTATTGCCCATTGTTGCTTCCAATAATTAATCACAGAATGATAGAATCATAGAATCACTCAGGTTGGAAAAGACCTTAAAGATGATCGAGTCCAACCACAACCCAACCATACTACCCAACTCCAACAGCCCTCTGCTCAATCACGTCCCTGAGCACCACAAACAAATGGATTTTAAACACATCCAGGGATGTGACTCAACCACCTCCCTGGGCAGCCTATTGCAGTGCTTAACAGCCCTTTCTGTAAAGAAGTGCTTCCTGATATCCAACCTAAACTGACCCTGGCACAACTTGAGGCCATTTCTCCTCGTCCTGTCACCAGTGAGAAGAGACCTGCCCTGCTCTGCACCTTTAATGTATTATTGCACAGCAGTGTGAATAAGTTTCCCCAACCTGCTGGGAAAGCAATACCAAGAGAAAGAAGGAAAGAAACACATGAAAGAATTCATCCTAAGGCAACCAGACAGTAAAAGAAGGAAGTAGGAGGCTTCCAAACTTCTCAGGACTGCCACAGCTGTCAACATACATTTTTAAGGTAGATGGAATGCTCATCTGCTCGAACGCACTTATAGTGCTTCTGCTTGAAGTAGAGTCCTTCCTTTCTAACTTGCAGCAAGTTCTTGTAGAAGGCATAGATGAGGTTTATGGCATTCTCTGGTGGCACCTGTGTGCATACAGCACAGTGTTATGGACTGAAAATGTACGTCTTCACAATGACGAGCCGCTCTTTACTCATGGTTTACTCACCCACTTTCTTTGATAGTTCACTTAAAATTACGTTACCTCAACCCCTAGGGCTCTGTTACAAAGTCTTCTGAACACATTCCTCTGAGCATCCCAATGGGAACTGTGCGTACCCTTGTCAAAACCGTTTGGTGGTGGTGTCACAGGGATTAGGAAAGCACGTCTCAATGCCAGAGGATGCGCAGACACACACGTGCTCACAAAGCACGGCGCAGCGCAGCTCCCCGCCCGCACCGCCACTCTGAACTCCTCCCGCCGCCGTCGCCCCGCAGCTCCCGTTTCTTACATAGAAGCCAGAGGTGGAAGCGCAGACTTCCCTTTCATTTATGCCGATCGCAGCTGCGTTCTCCACGTGCTTTGTTCTGATGAGGCTTTCCTTCAGCAAAGCCTGAAGTTGGATCATTTGTTCTGCGAGAAGGAACAGATGTGTAAATGTTTAAACGTTCGTCCTCTTTTAAGCTGCAAACCAATTCTGGGAATTTAGGAGTTTCGATAATTAATGCTAACCTTCAAAGTAAGACAACAAAAATCCCAAACCTAAGAGACCGGCAGTAGAACGGTCCCCCTTGCCAAAAAGGCTGTAAAACCCCTCCAGAAGTTAACTTTTATAGCATTTCTCGGTTGTTTTTCATAGCCGCAGGAGCCGCCCCGTGCCCGCAACCGCAGCCCCGCGAGGCGTCGCCAGGGCAACTGCGCCCCCAGCGCCGCCTGCGCTGCCCACAGCGCTCCCACTCGAGAGGCGGGCCGTGCTCGGCTCCCGATTGGCTCACTCGGCAAGGCGCTCCCATTCTGATTGGTGGAAAGGTCCGCCCTGTGACTCCGGACCGGGCGTTCGCGTTGCTATGGGCTGCCGGAGCGCTGGCGGCGGGCGCGGAGGGATCTGGCCGCTCTTCTTCCCGCCTCGTCCCCTTTAGCCCGGGCGGCCACCGCTGGGTGCCCGCCCTGAGGACAGGGAGCCGAATCGCTGTCCTGGGGGTTCCCTCCTCTTCCGAGAGGCTGGAGGTAGTGGGGAGGGACTATTTTCTCAGGCGGAAGAACATACGGAATGGGTGGTGTGATGCAATCTGGGGCGGCGCCATTTTTGCCGCCCTGGCTTTACTGCACCTGTGGCGGCGCTGAGGTACCCGGGTCGGGGGCTGCCTCGGAGCGGCCATCGTTGGGTCCTTCAATAAGTTTGGGAGGAAAGCCTTTCTGAGAATTTCACAGGGTTTGAAAGTCCTCATTCCGGTGTGTTTTAATACGTAAAAGTTTTAGTATAGCAGTATAAAGTGTTTCTCTTCTGAGGGGAAAAAGGAGAGGAAACCATGAACGTGCAAATCCTCTTCTGTGTGAGGATTTGACCTGTGTATGCAAACAACACAAATAATCTTACTTTACGACATTCAAGAGGAATAAAAAGCAATTGTGTGTCAGGCGGTAATTTGAATTCTTAATTCTCTGCTTTCCTTTAGCAGGTTTCAGTGCGCTGCTAACGAGTGTATGTATGGTTTTTATAACATGGATATCAAGTGCGTTGTGACTGGAGTTGGTCTTGAGGGTTTAGTTCCAACCTAGAACGTTCCATGACTGTGAGCCTGCTGGGCAGCTTCTCTTAGAGGCTTTTGTCAGAATGGGCTTTTGAGAGGACAGAGCCTCCCCTGCAAGGGAATTTACTTTCTGCCACAGAAATGATTAATCTGCCTTCTCAGTGTTTCTGCAAAACCGTGCTTGGGGAGTGTATGGGAACTGCTGAGTCACAGCCTGAACCCCTGATTGATCACCTGAGGCAAGCAGTGAGTCAGCCAGAGGAGCACAGGTGAAGGCAATTCACCTGTGCTGCCGGAAGGGGTGGAGCCAGGCTCCACTCCTCCTAGCCCTATTTAAGAGCTGGCAGCCAGTGGGGAAGGATCTCTTCTGGAGATCAGCTCTGCTGGAGTTTTGTTAAGTGAGCCCAGGATAGGGGTAAGCTTTCTATCCATTCTCTTTTTGTTATCGTTATCTGCTTTGCCAAACTCTCTTGTTTATTTTGTAATTATCACATCTTAATATTCATTGATTATACAGGGGAGCTGCTGTGTATTTTAGCAGAGGGAAGAATGCTCTGCTCTACTGAACAGTACTCCTGAAGCAAGAGGAAATTTATTATGTTAGTGGAAAATGTTGGTGATAAGTGGGTGGTTGGACTGGATGATCTTAGAGGTCTTTTCCAACCTTGGTGATACTATGATTCTATGAAACATACTGGTGCACATATAATGGAGGAGATGGCATTTCCTGTCTTGATCTCAGTGTTGGTGCTTTAGCATAAGCTTCATCTCTTAGAACTGGCTTTAAAAACCACTGAAATGCAACTATCCCTATTGTGGAACGTAGTGGTTACTTGAAGGTAACTTTTATGTAATTGAGAAAGGCACGAAGGAAAGAAGTAAAAGTCACAAGGCAGAACCTGATGACTCTGAAATGTTTTCAAAGCTGGAAGCATTCTGGAGTAATTTGTGGTTCGCTTTGTTCTTTGAAACAAAATTTGCCATCCATTCATTAGGGAGATGAGAACAGACAGGTAGTGCCAGACTATCTGCCTCTAAACGTGATACTTTGTCTCCCTGCTTTTCACTTACAGTGATACAAAATGACGGTTGGTATGTTTGGCAGTTAGAATTCCTACAGAGCTTTGTTGTGTGTTTGTCTGGCATTGTTGGACAACTAGCTTTTTGGTGTTTATGGAACAGTTTCATATGGTTTGGAATGCTTTAATGCTTCTTGCAGCCTCCCCCTGCAATGCATACTGCACATAGCTCAGAGACTGCTCCCCAGGCTACAGGTCCACCATCTGCAGCAGAACTCTGTCAGCACAAGCTGTACCAGGTGAGCAACTCTGCATTCCTTCAGCTGTGAATTCTGATGCAAAGAGTGAAAATGAAACATGAAACTTGTGTACAGCTGAGAACCCAGGGCATTTGGCTATATCTGTACTTCCTTCTTGGCACTGGCAGCTGGTACCCACAGACCTGCCTTCCCTGACCAGCACCTGAGATCATCAGGCATCCCAGTGAGCAGGGACATCCCTGTGGTTTTGTCTCCACCCTATGAATGCTCAGGGATGTGTATCACAGAATAGCCAGGGTTGGCAGGGACCTTAGGGATCATGAATCTCCAATCCCTGCCCCACATGCAGGGCCACCAACCTCCCCGTTTAATACTGGATTAGGCTGTCCAGGGCCCCATCCAATCTGACCTTGAATGACCTCTCTGGGCAGCTGTTCCAGCACCTCACCACTCTCTCTGTAAAGAACTTCCCCTGAATCCAACCTAAATCTCCCTTCCCTCAACTTCAAACCATTTCCCCCTGTCCTGCTGTTATCTGCCCTTTCAAAGAGTCGATTCCCCTCCTGTTTGTAGGCTCCCTTTAGGTACTGAAAGGCTGCACTGAGGTCACCCCGCAGCCTTCTTTTCTCCAGGCTGAAGAAGCCCAGCTCCCTCAGCCTGTCCTCATAGGGGAGGTGCTCCAGTCCCCTGATCATCTTCGTGGCTTTTCCCTGGACCCTCTCCAACAGCTCCCTGTCTTTCTTGTACTGGGGGTTCCAGACGCAGTACTCCAGATGGGGCCTCACAAGAGCAGAGTTGATGGGGACAATCACCTCCCTGTCCCTGCTGGCCACCCCTCTTCTGATGGAGTATATGTGTATTATGGGAAGAGTCATTATGCTCTCCCTTTCCTGTCCATTTACTGTAGGTCAGGCTGTCTAGAATCCAAGTACTGTGCAAATCTTCCAGAGAAACCCCAAACGTTAGTACTGGTGGAAGCATCAGTAAATGCAGTGCTGCAACGATGTTACAGCCTGTCTGATGCATGCATGAAAGGGTTGCTGACTCAGTAAGCAGTGGTCTGGTTCCACAAGAGCTGCTTCCATTACAGCTATGTAGGATTGAACCTGTATGTATATCTGTTTGAAGAGTGCTCTCACCGTTAAAATCATTGCTCTAGCTTGGGATATCCCTATCTCCAGTGCTTCTGTTTCGTGTGTGTGAAATGTTTTCTCCTGAAGTAATGCAGAGAACTGCTAAAGTGATGTTTTGCTGTAATTCTTGCCCTGGGAGAATGAGGTTTGCAAGGCAGCATGGTATGAGGCTCTTAGGTGAACTTCTTGTATCCCAGTCTGTAGTCTGACTGTGGAACCTGGATGAGATCTTTATAAAGCAGGTAGATGTTTTTCATGCAGACTTTTTCCTTTTTTTTTTTTAAATTTATCCAGAGGTGCTCCACAGCACCAGCAAGGAGCAACGCAGCAAATACATTTGATTGCAGTAGATTCTCTGGGAAGACAAATACTAGCAGATACTGGCTGATACAGAAGGACTTCTATCGTGCGAAGGTACGAGTGGAGGAGTGGAATAGAATGGAAGGAATGAAGGAAGGAATAAAAGATGGTTGTTTGCAAAGTTCTGGAGGTCTGAGTTATGTTTGTCGTTGGAGAACAAACAACTGAAAATATTAATCTGGTGGGTTTTATTGAGCACTTTGAGGTACCTTTGCTGAGTTCTGTGACATTCAGAAAGTTTTCACATGAAACCTAAATGTTGGGGTTTATTTGGTTTTGGTTTTTTGTTTTGGACACGCTTGAGCAAGTGGCCTGGATCAAGTGGTGGCACAGCCCCAGTGAGGAGCATCCAAGGAGGTGCCTGGGCTGATCACAATGAACGTGAACGCTTTTGTTCTTCCAAAACATGACTTGAGTTTAATCTGTCTATTCAGAGCAAGGCTCACAGAGCTCTGTGCTGTTCTGCCAGCTGTGTTAGGGTGTAACATGCCTTAAATCCCAGCTCAAGTAACTATTCTGATCTAAGGTAATTCTGACAGCTGCTGTAACTCCCTGCTTTTACTTCATGTCTTTTCTTGCTGTTTTGCCAGGTGGCTCCTGATGAAAGCAGAGACATCATCGCTTCTGCTCAGTCCATCTTAGACAGAGAAAATTACTTTGTGAGAGTAAGAAATGATCTCTTTTCTCTTGCTTGCTGTTAGTTTTCTGTATGTAAAAGTCAATGAATTATGATAAAATGTCAATTGTCTATATTCCTGGAAAACTGAATTCAGAAATACATCCGTCTGACTTCCTGAGGACAGGACTGAACTGACAACCCTAAATGTGAGTTTCACAGTTTTCCATCTTCAGTGGCTGAGTGCCCATTTGCACCTAACTTTAGTTCTGTGGATGAGATGGATGGCGGTGAGACTGAATAATGGACAGCAGGGCTGACCCAATCCAGCAGACTGCCACTGCTAGAGGAAAAAAAATCCTTTTCCCAATAACCTGTGGGGGGGGGGGGGAGGAGGGGAGGAGTGCAGGAGTGCAAAGAAGGGCTTGGAGCCAACAGGACAGAGGGAGCAGCAGAAGGGAGGGCTGGCAGGGAGGGCAGCACTGCCCAGTCAG